GAATTCTTGCAAAAACTGAAACGGCTTACAACAAACTATCGTAAAAGAAATATATACATATTTCATAATAACGTAACAGTACCTGGCTAATCCTGCTCACCTATGCAGAGAATTAAACTCGCTTTGTATTCTTATGTGAGTTCCGATCTGATACCAAGTTAACAAGCACACATGAGGGACAGAGACAGCCGGAGCTCACCCAGAAGCCACACTCTGCAGTGGTAGTCAGCAGAAGCAGATTTTTAGTGTCAAAATAAAACATACAAAAAGTTAGATATGTTAAAAAAAAACATTGATGGGTAGAGTCATGAATACTAGACCCGAATCATCAAAACATTTACTATTCACTCCCTCTCCCTTTTGAAGGGTTAATACTTGATGTTTCTGGCTAGAATTTGACTCTCTTAACATATTTCTCCGGTAACCTTGAAAAATAGTTTGTATGACTTATCAAAACAATCCAAAGGCGTCATCGAGTAAAATGTTTATAACATTGAAAGTTGTCTATTTTTTTCCCAGATATAGTAAGAGATTCATGGTTTATAAGAATAGGAAAAAAAAACACCCAGTTTAATTTTCATAGCTAAAAGTTTGACGAATGCAAACTTCTCGATTTTTACGATATAAGAGTGACGTAGGTTAATACTGTTAATAAAGGAACGAACTAACAAACAAAAATGTATAGTTTACGAATGAATATTTGTTTGTTTTATTTGAAGTTAAGCACAAAGCTACACAATAGGCTATCTGTGCTCTGCCCACCACGGGTATCGAAACTCGGTTTCTAGCGTTGTAAGTCTGCAGACATACCTCTGTGCCACGGGGTGGGGTCACGAATGAATATTGCATTGTCTATTTTTTATAAGAAAGATTACCTAAATTATACAAAATCATAATTGAGTCTATTTAAAAAAACAACAACATTTGTTTGTTTATTGTTAAGCGCAAAGCTATACAATAGGCTATCTGAGCTGTGTCCACCACAGGTATCGAAACCCAATTTTTAGTGTTATTAACCATTAGATTCATGGCTGAACTACTGGGATGGAAGCGTTTTTTAATTATTAAATCGTTAGTGGTTGTACAAAAATGTCAGCATCTTGAAAATTCATCCTATTGTCTAACCAAAAAAAAAAAAGAAAAGATTATTTGGGTTTTGACTTTTAAGAAATAAATCCTTTAGTATGTAGTCACACTTTTGAAGGGTTAAGCCCTGATGCTTTTGATCAAAATTTTAACAGTTTTGAAAATTTTGTATGTTTATTAGAAAAATCAGTGATTCAATCCCAGTTTCCCAAGGGGTTAAGCTTTCTTGTTTCCAGTTAGAATTTAGTAACTTTAAAATATATTCTTGCAGTCAACTAGAAAGATAGGTTATACCACGAAGTTTCAAAATTTTCATTATGTTGTTAGATTTCCAAAGATGTTTATACCGTTTACCAAAAACTATACAATAGAACTGTATTTGGTAATTTTTTATTCAAAAAAGGCAATCTGTAAACTTCCAAATATTCTGTAAGAAACTTAACCTAGGTATTATTTATGAAAAAAAGGCCTATTTTATCATCTTTATTTCTAAGATGAAGTTCTAAGCTAAAAATCGTTTCGCTCGATTAAAATAATTTTGAAGGATGCTTTAATTTATTGTTCTTCGTTTCTTCTTTGTGCTTCTTTGTTAATTAATCATGACAACAGTGGAAGTTTAGGAATTATAAAAATATCTTATATAGAAGTGAAGATATTTTTCATGTTTATGTTTGGTAACTTCATGAACATGTAATGTTTGAAACTGCGAAAATTTGCAATCTTTGCAAAATTTGTAAAAATTTGTAAAATTTGCAAAATTTGTTTCCCAACATGCTTATTTAATTAGAAGAAACTTTTGTTCATAAACTATAATTATTGAAGTAAATTATTTGCAGAGAGTATATGCAAATTTCACTGAGTTGCAACTAAAACTATTGAATGTTATTGGTAAGCAATATTTTCGCTCATAAAACCTGGTTTCAGATAATGATCGGTTCCCGAAATATTCATCGCTAAAAAACCTCAGTTAATAAAATATTGCTATAAGGTTTCTCCTTAAAGTTATTTTTCAAACTTTTCAGTAAAAATAACTTATAAGTTGGGAGTAGAGAAATAATACATTATGTTTTAAATCTGACATGGAATAGTTCATAAAGCACTGAACAATGCAACAACCATTACAGATACAAACATATCAAACATAGATCAAACAGTAAAGGTTTTAATAAGCTTGCTTGTTTTTTCAAGTATATTTATACTAGTTGGAGTACTCATCCTCTGGACAGAAGTTATGTAAATTCATGATTAATGAAAGGTTATCTTAGGACATGAAAAGCTGTTTCCCTATATATAATTGTAAAAAAACAAAACAAAACCAAAAAAACAACACAATAAAAACTGCAAAACACAAAATGTGAAACCGCAAGTTTGCATGTATCTTCATGTCGAATTTGGTGAAGATCCAATAACAGGGGGCGAATTAGTGGTTAAAAACGTCCATAAAACCGCAAAACGTAAAGTGCAAAACTGAAATTGGTATGTATCTTCCCACGAGCATCAACAGGGGGCGAACTAGTGATAAAAAACGCGAAAATGCCAATGAAAACTGCAAAACGCAAAATGCAAAACTGAAATTTGTATGTATCTCCCCATGGACCCAATGAACCTTTATACCAAATTTAGTAAAAATTCATCTACAGGCGGAGAAGTAGTGGTAAAAAAATAAACAAACTCCCATAAAACCGCAAAACGCAAAATTGAAGTTTGTTTGTATCTCCCCATGGACCCAATGAACCTCCATACCAATTTTGATGAAAATCCATCAAACGGGGGCGAAGTAGTAGTAAGAAAAAACGCCCATGAAAACTGCAAAATGCAAAATTGAAATTTGTTTGCATCTCCCCATGGACCCAATGAAGTTCCATAGCAAATTTGGTGAAGATCCATTAAAAGGGAGCGAAGTAGTGGTAAAAAAAAAACGCAAAAACGCCCATAAAAACCGCAAAATTGAAATTTTTATGCATCTCTCCATGGACCCAATGAATCTCCATACCAAATTTAGTGAAAATTCGTCTACAGGCGGAGAAGTAGTGGTAAAAAAACCCCGCAAAAACGCCCATAAAACCGCAAAACGCAGAATTGAAATTTTTATGCATCTCTCCATGGATCAAATGAATCTCCTTTCCAAATTTAGTGAAAATTCATCTACAGGCGGAGAAGTAGTAGGTAAAAAAACCCCACAAAAACGCCCATA